CATATAAATAATGTTAAAATAAATATTAATTGTTATAATTTTATGTATATTATTTAAAAATATATATTTATTATACTCTTAATTTATATTCTAAAATTATAAATTAAACAAATTTTTAGTTAATTAATTTAAGAGAAGGAAAAAAAAAAAAAGATAATACAGAACAAAACGGTAGATCCAGAAAAGAGTCACCGCAGACGGTGTTCAGGCGGCTAAACTTGCGTGCTGCAACAAGGAACTTGGCAACTTGCCCATCCTTTTCACTCCCTAATAGACTCCTAAAAATTAAAATAAAACAAGATTTGTGTGATTTTGATGCACGAACAGTCAATAAAATTTTAATATGCAAGCAAACATAATAATTTCAACAACACAAAGCTTATTCTTATATGTGAATACCAATTTTTCAGATGAGTTCTCCTACGAACTAAAATGTATTTAAGGATTTCTCATGATTTATATAGCAGATTAATTTACCAGTCTATTATAAATATATCTTCTTCTTTTTTTGAATGGTTTATAATTGGGGATAAGGAACTTAAAAGATGAGAGAATATACCTTATAATCGGATTTGGAACCATCAGATCACGTTTAGGTGCATTTGAATATTATTATTAATTTGTTATATACTCATATTTGACATGGTATTATCATGACATGAAAGATTATGTCTTCTGTTTTTTTAAACTTTGTTTATGAAACCTTAATTTCAACTTTCTTTGTTTTTTTATGATAGTAAATTTCTTTGCTTCATTTATGTGGTTCAAATGGAATTCTCTTAATTTCAAACTTCAGATGCTCTCGTGACCCACAATTGGGTAGCAGTTATGACTATTTACAATAACTTTGACAAAATATTAATGTTTCGTATTCTTTTAATTTTATTAATTACATGATAAAAACATAAACGCATCCATCATTCATTGTCAACACGCAGCAGCAAACTTTGCTCCCGGTTTTGGTATTTCCCCTCTTCAATAATAAATAATAATATATACATGCATACAAAAGGCAAATCAGATGGACCTCAATTGTAGATCTCAAGACCCACCTGTTTTTGATACTTTCATGCTTGTTTTCATGTGGAATTTTACAATATATGGGTTTGGTAGTAAATGGAAACAAAATAAAAATTAGTATGAGGTGAAGGTGGTTGCCCTTGAGTTATCAGTACTTAAAAGGAAATGCATTATATGTAATATTATAACCCAAAAAAGGTGCTTTGGTCCAAATTAGAGAGAGAGCTTTATGGTCAAGAGTTTGATTTTGATTATAAGAGAGAAGGAATCTCACTCAGGCATAGAGAATGAGACAAATTATGTAGTAGTGAAGACTAAAAATGGATGAGATCACTGACTAATATCGATCACTTTCATTATCTCTTAATATGACTCTGCGTGTATATATTGGATTGGTGGTTGGAAAGATCGATATGCGTTCTGACCTCTTAAAATGTTGTCATATTAATCACTAGCATAGCTGATGTCGTGTATGACTTTATATATATTAGGAATTCGTCGGGAGTCAGGGCACCACCCTTGTTATTGATGAGTTGAGCAACCTGCAGTAACTTGCAAGTAAAAGTCCAATATATGTAAAAAAATTATCTTAAATTTAAAAGATTAACCTATTAATTTCATGAGTCTCTCTATATGTAAATCACTTGCTTTTCACTCTTAACTTCTACTATGATATTTTCTTTACTCACATGCATAAACACTCAACTCCCTTGTTAGAGTAACAATGTTTATTTTCAGGTTTACACACTTTGGTTGGAGGATTCCTCACATCTCGATACCCTACTCCCTACCGCACGAACTTACTTGAAGTACGCACTCATCTCAACACTCCATTTGAGTGGAAGAATTGTTTACCTCTCAATGCACAAAAAAAGTGGAGACACTCACAGCTCATATACACACTCTTATGACTTGGGCCTGCCACAATTGCCTAGAGTTTGAATCTTAGGCTTTGATACCACTATTGGGGTTCAAGGCACCACTTTTCGTTGTTGGGTTGAGCGATGACCCAACATATGAAGATATTATCTTAAATTCAAAAAATTAACCTATTAGGTTCATGAGTCTACACATATATAATGCATTTACATTTTACTATACACTTTTGATACAAGATTCTCTCTACTTACATGTAGACACCCAACAAAATCAACCTTGAGGCATGGTCTTTTTGGTTCAATTCTTAGAGACACCATAAGAAGATAGTTTCCTTGTAAATTAAAATTCCCTAATCACAACGTTTGTTTTTTTAACTCAATGAAGTAGATTTAATTTGTGAAACAAATAATAGTCTTCTCTTTGAGGGACGCAACTTTACCATATCATATATATAATGAGTTAATAATAATTAAACATCATATTATTAGTTGGATGCTTACCCCTCATTGTTTTCTTAACATGTTATATGTATCAAGTCTGCTATATTATATAAATGTGACATAGTAGATCAACTTTCTACTCCTTAATATAGATGGACAACTTAAGGTCAGAATTTCATCAGAAAACTTGATCGCAAATGACTAGATATTTTAATTCTCTTTGATTGGGCAGGTTGATTTTATTTTAAAAAGTTGGAACTTGGAAGTATAGAAGGGGTATGGGGATGATATATTGGACTGTTAAATTAAAGAAGGATCATAGACTTTTGAGTTTTGATTGACAGAAATAGGCAAAGTGAAGTGAAGGTGGACTGTTGCAATAATAATGAATTAGAAATAGAAATTCAGGTGACATTTACATATGCTTTTCACACTGATTTCCTGGGGTTGGTCCTCTTATTAGGTAAACTTTGTTCATCTTTTTCTCCTCGATTTTGTCATTCTTTTGAACTTTAGCCCAAACTATCTGCGGATTTCTCTACAAATGAGGGTATCTTTTCAGACGACGCAATCAAATAATGTACAGCTATATTCCATGACACTCATCCCTCCTTGTCAATGTAACTACCTATTCATTCACATGCACCTTTTTTTAATTTTTTAATCTTTTTTTAATCTTGAGACCATTGGATCGGATTCCTTCCAGTATTTGCACCAGCCTACAGAATACTTGCTTCTTGGAAAATGAGAAATTACGCCAAGAACAGCATTGACCGTTTTGGTACAGTAAACAAACTAGTTGCTTATCTTTACAAATATTTAAACCCTGACCTTCACTATTAGACTTGACAAATAGGTTGGATTGGTCCATTCGAATCTCAGATTTTTTTGAATTATGTCATTTTGGGTGTCAGATTAGAGGAGTAAGCTCATGATCCACCTAGGTTTTGAATTGGATTGAGTAAACCCAACTTCTAAAAAATTAAAATTAAAATTAAAATTTTTTTGTATTTTTTTTATTTTTTAACAAAATTTAATACTAATTAATTATTTAATGAGAAAATTTTATTAAACGTTAATTAAACGTTAATTTTCATTTTATGATTCAATTTTCATTCCAATCTCAAGAAAAGAAAATGGAAAAATTACTAATTATATAGGTGGAACTAAAACATATGTCAAATGTATAATATCTATACAATATTTAGAATTCATAATTTCATAAAAACACTAACTTTTATTAAAAAAAGAGATACGAATGATTAGAGTTTAAAAGACAAATCTAATTTATATGTTAATATCTAGTGCCTATTCAATATTTATAAGGGTATTATATAAAAAAAATACAATTTTATTCAATATTTAGAAAAGTATTATAAAAAAAATATAACCCTCTTCAATATTAAATTTTAAAAGGTAAATTCAAAATATATCTAAACAAATACAAGAAGAAATTGGATTAAGATTGATTTTTATTAACTAGGAACAAATTATTAGTTTGGAACAAATTAGCAACAAAGAATAAACTTTGATGTTCTTGATGTTCTTGTCATTGTGTTTTTAGTGGTGATGAGAGTACCTCAACCATTGAACTTTTGCTTTTTAGCATGCATACTTGCTTTCTATTTTTTTAAAAGGATCTTTTTAACAATATCATATGACATAACTCATTATGTGCCACCTAATATAATATTTGACGCAAATGCCACAAAAAAGAAGGATTAAATAGCTTGAGATTAAGAAGAGGAGAGTAAGAATGGAGAAGAGAAAAAGTTGAGAGAGAGAAATTGACAAGATGTTAGGGTTTGTATATTTTATTTATTTTTACTTTTAAGATTAACAAAATTAGAAATTTAAAATTAATTTTTAAATAATTTAATAA